ACAAACACGTTCAGGGCAGTGTCAGGAGGACAGAGCCAGGCTTTGTGCAGTGGTGCCCAGTGACAGGACAAGGGGCACTGGGTGCAAACTGGAGCATAGGAGGTTCCATGTGAATTATCAGGAAGAATTTCTTTCCTGTGAGAGTGACAGAGCCCTGGGCCAGGCTGCCCAGAGAGGCTGTGGAGTCTCCTTCTCTGGAGACATTCAAACCCCCCTGGACACATTCCTGTGTGATGTGCTCTGGGTGCCCCTGCTCTGGCAGGGGGGTTGGGCTGGGTGAGCTTTCCAGGTCCCTTCCAACCCCTAACGTTCTGTCATTCTGTGATTTGGTAGCAGTGTTCAGTGTTGCCATCAGCCGGTGCCAGAGGGGCTGTCAGGAAGCTGATGTGGCTGCCGAGCCACCCCAGAACCCTCCTCCTCCTCAGCAGCAAAAGGAATCACGGTGTGACTGGACAGTCATGAGCAGGGGCACACGTAATAGAAAGCCAAACAGCACATCTAAAAGCCAACATCCTGATTCCGTTTCCCACAAGCGTAGTCACTGCTTTCTGAACCCTGTCTTGGTTCTGGTTGAAGCGTTTCTGTGAAAGGAGGGATTTCACAGAGTCTTAGGGGTTGGAAGGGACCTGGAAAGACCATCCAGTCCAACCCCCCCTGCCAGAGCAGGATCACCCAGAGCACATCACACAGGAATGTGTCCAGGAAGGTTTTAAATCCCCTCCAGCCAGGGGGATTTCTGGGTTTCTGTCTTCCCAGGCTTTCTTTGAGGAGTCTCTGGGGGTACCTACCTGCTATTGATTGTGGCTTGGACCTGTCGCTACCCAGCAGAGGGTGGTATTATTTCAGCTAATGAATTAGAGCCCTGCTCAGTCCCTCTAGGTGTGTTCCCGTGGCAGGAGGACCAGGAATCAGTGCTCCAGCTACTTTGCAAACTGTCCTTAAGAGCTATAAAAAGTAATACAGTGAAGTAATGCATTGTCAGCAGAGAAACCCAAGGGTATGGGTGGTGGAAACAGCAAATAAGAGAACTGTACCCCTCTGCCATCTCTCTTACATGTCTTTTCTGTGTACCTTCCCCATTTTCCTCCATATACTGTTAGGTTTTATCTATTTGTGATGTAAATTTCTTGGCGTTGTGACTATCTCTGAACGTTTGACCCTTCTTGGCCCAATGGATCTCAGTGGGTGGAAGCAAAAGATCAAAGCAAAATCAAAATATATTGTTACAGTGAAGCATAAATGGTGAACATAAATAAAAGCTACAGTCAGCAGTTATTATGAACCTCTACCTCTCTGATGTTTTACTCTTCTAGACAAATACCTGGTAAATCAGTGCATAAGTATGAATTCTTCAGGTGTTCTCCCTAAACTGATTTTTTTTTTCAGACTGTGAGACAGCTATTTACAAAGGACCATTTTAATGTTTGAAAATGCCAAGTTGAAAATGTGTAGCTGAAAATGTTTTCAAACTAGTTGAATCAGCCAAAAACTTTGTAAACAACAATACCCTTGGCTATATGATCCGTCAACTTAATCTGTGACCCTTATTTTCAGATCTGTGCTTAAATACTATCTGAGATTTCTGTAAGGAAGGCTGCTTCTAGTCCAACACCAAGACCAGGATGCCTTCCAGATTAATCAGTTCTGTTTAATTTCCTGGTAAATATTTTTTAAGGCCTATAGGTAAAGACAGCAATTATTTGCTACTTTACTAGTATCTTCCTTCATTGTTAGCACAGAAGCAACAATTATAGGCCTGGTCCCAGAGACCCCAGTTTCTGGTGGTTTTCTGTGCTATGACAATACATGGAATCTTGAGAAAGAGAAGATAATAGAAATTTGTGGGTTTTCCCACTCAGGAAATGGATGAACCCATTTAAATGAAAAGAACCTGTGAATAAAACCTAGAGGAACCAGTAAATACAAGCAAAAAATGAAATGTAGACCAGTTGCAAATTTCCAGCCAAAGATAAGGATTCAATGGGGCAGAATCTGGTTGGAGGTCTGTGACTAGTGGAGTCCCACAGGGGTCGGTACTGGGACCGGTGTTGTTCAACATCTTCATCAATGACCTGGATGAGGGAACAGAATGTGCCCTCAGCAAGTTTGCTGATGACACTAAGCTGGGAGGGGTGGCTGACACACCAGAAGGCTGTGCTGCCATTCAGAGAGACTTAGACAGGCTGGAGAGTTGGGCAGGGAGAAACTTGATGAAATTCAACAAGAGGAAGTGCAGAGTTTTGCATTTGGGGAAGAGAAACACCATATCCCAGTATAGTTTGGGGGCTGAACTGCTGGAGAGTAGTGTAGGTGAAAGAGACCTGGGGGTCCTGGTGGGCAGGAGGATGCCCATGAGCCAGCAATGTGCCCTTGTGGCCAAGAAGGCCAATGGCATCCTGGGGTGCATTAGAAAGGGTGTGGTTAGTAGGACAAGGGAGGTTCTCCTCCCCCTCTGTTCTGCCTTGGTGAGGCCACATCTGGAGTGTTGTGTCCAGTTCTGGGCCCCTCAGTTCCAGAAGGACAGGGAACTGCTGGAAAGAGCCCAGGGCAGAGCCACAGGGATGCTGGAGGGAGGGGAACATCTCCCTGCTGAGGAAAGGCTGAGGGAGCTGGGTCTGTTGGGCTTGGAGAAGAGGAGACTGAGGGGCCACCTCATCCATGGGCACAAATCTGTTCAGGGCAGTGTCAGGAGGACAGAGCCAGGCTTTGTGCAGTGATGTCCAGTGACAGGACAAGGGGCAGTGGGTACAAACTGGAGCACAGGAGGTTCCATGTGAATCTCAGGAAGAACTTCTTTGCTGTGAGAGTGCCAGAGCCCTGGGCCAGGCTGCCCAGAGAGGCTGTGGAGTCTCCTTCTCTGGAGACATTCAACCCCCCCTGGACACATTCCTGTGTGATGTGCTCTGGGTGCCCCTGCTCTGGCAGGGGGGTTGGGCTGGGTGAGCTTTCCAGGTCCCTTCCAACCCCTAACGTTCTGTCATTCTGTGACAGGGAGATGTGTGCCCATCCTGCCAATGTTATGGCCAGCTCATGGTGTGTTCTTTGGCAGCTGAAGGGGAGTATCACATGTCCCCATCACCTTTGTGGCTGTGTCTGGTTCTGTGACTAAGAGCCCTGGGGTTTTGATGGATAACATCAGCCTTTGCTACCTGGACTTGGCCTCCTCTGTCTTCCCTGTGTCCAAGCAATGGCCTTATGAAGCACTGACAAAGGTGAGAGGTGTGTGGTGTCTGGGTGTTGCTTCTCTTCAGTAGCTGTGTGTTAGTGGCACTGTAAAGAATGATATACCGTAACATGTAGGTTGCCATTTAAGTGAGATCAGACAAAGAAAGCACTGAGGATGGAAAGAATGATATTGAAATAAACTAATTAAGGTGACTGTCTTTGCTAATGAGAATGTTTTGATGGACTTGCAGCATTTCCAGCTCCTTTTAAAGTTTCCTAGTTTGTTGTCTTCTTGTTGAGGTTTGCCTCCTGTGGAGCGTACATCTCTCCCAACTCCTTGAGAAATTCCTGCAGCATTTAGTTATGGGTGGTTGGCAAAGCTTGCAGGGTGACCCAGAAGCATGCCAGGATCATCTTCTAGCAGATGTGCCCTCTGTTCACCCCTTGCACCCCATGCTTTGCAAACAGCAACTTGTCACCTGAGCCCTTTGGACTTGTCAGAAGCTGTTCCATGCCAACTTGTGTGCTTCTCCACTGACCAGTCTGTTAAAGTGTGGTGATCTGAGCATCCATCTGGTCCTGGGGGGTAGTGATGGGCACCCAGGTTTTAACTAGTAGCTGGAGATGAGCACAGCAGAGTCCATGCCTCCTGGTCCCATGTTTGTCACCAAGAACCTAAGTAGTATGCTTTTTTCTCTGTGTGTGAACCTGTGCTGATAACACACTTGCTTACTCAAGGAACAGAGTGGAGCTGGTTGTTCTCCCTCCCTCCTTTTGGGCCTGGATTCCAGCTCCAGGATTTTCTACTTCAATTACTTCAGCGGCATGTGTAACTCCTGCCCCTAGTCCTTCAAATGTGCCAATCTGCACATGTTCAACATAAAAGCCTTCTGTTTTGTCAAATCTGGCACCCTTCCCTGAAGGGATTGGGTCTGTGAAGTAGCTGGGAGGTGAAGCCAGGAGACTGGAGGAATTTTCCTTCCATCTGGTCTCTGCCAGATGAGCAGAAGAAAGCTGAGTCGTGCTGAGCATCCTGGGGACATGCTGCAGGCTGCTCATCTCCCCTCTGAGTCCACTTTACCCTCATCGAGCTGGAGGGAAAAAAAATAACAAGTAAACCTACAGTTCAAGGGAAGTAGAAGGGGTGGGAGGGATGGGGGATGTCTAAATCACTCACCGTTCCTGTTGGTGACACTGATCCTGCTTTCTGGCTCCGAGTGCCTCTGCAGAAAGTGGTTTCTGCTGTGTTAAGCTCCTGCTGGTTGGATTTGAAAGTCAACAGGTTTGATCACTGGCTTGTGGTGTTTGCTTAGCCCCTTAGAAATGCTCCTGGTCTGGGAAGCTCTCCTGCTTGCCATAGCATTGCTGCAAGGTCTTGGGCTGTTCCACCACCAAAGCTGCAGTGGTGAACTGATAAATCAGCAAGAGAGGTGCTGGTGAGCCCTTGTTACCTCTGGTGAATGTCAGTTAGAACATCAGGCAGCATTCCAGTACCTGGAGGGACCAACAAGAATCCAGGGATGGGCTTTTTACAAAGCCATGGAGTGAAGGGATGAAGGGGCAATGGTTTCAAACTGAAAGAGGGAAGATTTAGGTTAGACATTAGGAAGAAATTCCTGTGA